TTTGAGGCCAGCCTGGTCTACATAGTGAGTTCCAGGACAGCTGGGGCTACAGGGAGCAGCTTTCTCAAAAAGACCAAAGGGGGAAAAAAAAAAAAGAGTACTTCAAGGGGCTGGGAAGACAGCCTAGTAGGTAAAGTGCTTACCCCCACAAGTTTGAGGATCCAAGTTCCAGCTCCTAAACCTACATACAGAAGCCAGGTGTTGTGGCATATACTTGTAACCCCAGTGTAGGGGAGGTGGAGACAGGAGGGACCCTGGGGCTCACTGACCTGTCAGCCTAGCCTACTTGGCAAGTTCCAGGCCAGTGAATCCAGTCTCAAAAAAAAAAAAGTGGATAATGCTTGAGGAATTCCAGCCGAAGTTGTCCTTGGCCTACAGACAGACAGACAGATGCACGCACGCACACACACACCCGGCTTAGATATTAGGGGAGGAGTTCTGGGACTTAAGCCCAGGGCCCTTCATTCACTAAGCGTGCACTCCACTGCTGCTGTCTGGAGCTGAGCACTTAGATGTTCCGTTTAGCTTTCCCCCAACATCCTCGCCATTCTCTTGCACCCCAGTCTGTTTTTTAACAAGCGCATTCCTGTGTGTGCACTCACCTGCTTTGATTACTTTGTCATTTGTATACCTGTCCCATTCCACTGTCTCGTTGGTAAGGCTACCAGCTCAGGTTCTGCGATTGTCCTTCCAGGAAACGAAGACCTCAGCAATAACGGGGCCCTTCACTCAGCCAACTCCACCACTAACCTGGCCGAGACTGAAGAACAGCCTTCCCCACCCAACCCAGAGCCTCCTTCTGGAGAACATCCCCCAAAACCCAAACTCGAGGGGGTCCTGGTGAACCATAGTGAGCCCCGGTCCAGCTCCAGGATTGGGCTCCGGGTGCACTTCAACCTGCCTGAAGATGACGAAGGAAGCCAAGCGTCCTCCGAGGGCGGAGTGGCCAACGCCAGCCAGGCCAGGCCCAATTCCTTCCCTGAGAGGTTCAATGGACAGGCAGCCAAAATCGCCGAGCCTTCTTCACCCATCAAAGAGCCCCCTCCAGTTCTGGCCAAACCCAAACTGTAAGTAAAAAATCGGATGAGCGGCTATGAGTGCCTGTGAGCTTCTCATGAGTCTGACCCTCTTACAGACAGTAGATGGGCTGGACTCATGGCTCAGAGGGTAATGGTGCTTTGCCAAGCAAGCCTGATGACCTGACTTCTGTCACAGAGACCCAGCTGGTGGAGAGAACCAACTCCCATACGTTGTCCTCTGACCTCCACACGCACATGCATGTATACTCACACACACTAAATAAAAATGTAATAAGGTGCGGTGGTACACACCTTTACTCCCAGCACTTGGGAGGCAGAGGCAGGGGGATCTCTGTGAGTTCAAGGACAGCCTGGTCTACATAGTGAGTTCCAGCCCAGCTGTGGTTACAGGGAGACCCTGTCTCAAAAAACCAAAAAAAAAAAAAAAGTAATAAAGAACTGTAGCTTGATTGGTAGAACTCTTGCTTAGCATGCATGAGGTCCCAGGTTCCAGCCCCATCTCTGCATAAACAGCTGTGATAGGGCACACCTATGATCCTAACATTTAGGAGGTAGAGGCAAAAAGATCAGAAATTCAAGGTCATTCTCAACTACCCTGGGAGTTTGAGGCCAGCCTGGGCTATATGAGACCTTGTCTCAAATAAAACAAAAGAGTCGAAAAACAGAATTAGCAAGTGAGGAAATATGCATCAAGTACAATGCAGAAAGTATGTCTCCACAGCAGCACAGCCCCCACTGTCATCCTCATCGTTAATAGTCTACCTCCAAGCAATGTACACCTGCATTAGAAAGGTGCTTCTCTAATGTGAAGCATTCCTTATTCTTTTTTTAATTTTATTTATTATTTTTATTTTATGTGTATGCGTGTATTGCCTGCATGTAGGTAAGTGCACCCATGTCATGCAATGCCCACGGAGGTCAGAAGAGGCTGTCGGATCCCCTGGGACTGGAGTTATGGACAGTTGTTAGCTTCCATGTGGGTGCTGGGATTCGAACCCAGGTCTTCTGCAAGAACAACCAGTATTCTCAACCGCTGAGCCATCTCTCCAGCCCTCCCCCTTATAATATTCTTTATCTAATAATCTTTATTGTCTATAGCCTCTTCTTGCTTCAATTTAATCTTGTGTAGCTGTTACAGAACTTGTGGTCCAGCTTGCTATGTAGATCAGGCTGACCTTGAGCTCATAGAGATCTGCCTGCCTCCGCCTCCCAAGTGTTGTTATTTTTATTTTTATGTGTGTAAATGTATTGCAAGCATGTATGTAAGTGTACCTGTGTCTCCCAGTGCCCCCAGAGGTCAGAGGGAGTGTTGAATTCCCCTGGAACTGGAGTTATGGTTGGCTGTTAGCTGCCATGTGGGTGCTGAAACTCGAACCCAGGTCCTCTGCAAGAGCAATCAGTGCTCTTAACCACTGGGCCATCTCTCCAACCCCAACATTGTTTACTTTTGTCACTGACCAGGCCTGTTTTGCTCATTACATGGTATACAGCTGAAATGATGAAAGATTTTATTCACAAGGCAGCCACATGAAGTGGGAGACCAAATCTTGAAGACACATCTCTAGGGTGGGGCTTGGAGATACGGGCTGAGGTGTGGGAAGGTGAATGGATCAAACAGGAGAGCCAGAAAGGAGGCAGCGTGGCCTGTCACTCAGGGGTCAGTGCTCATTTGGGCTTCAGTCGCTCGCTCACCTTTTTTCTCTTTCCATTCCTGCTCCATCCTCTCCCTTTGTAGACTCAGTTCATCACATCAATGTCCCCCTTCTCCCTCATGTCATCAACACAAAAACACACCTCTGACCTCAAAGGGAGTAGGAGATAGTTTATTCTGGAGCCAAATATGAGTGATGTGGCTGGGGAAAAGATTCAGTTTACCCCAAATACCGCACTTCATTTTGCAAGCAGTTACATAAGATTGTATTATTAACAGAACAAGGACAGTCATAAATCAAAGGTAGTACTGAATACAATGGTGGTGGGGGCCGCAGGTAGGCCGGTACAGCACAGGTAGGCGGTTACAGCACAGGTAGGTTGGTTACAGCAAGAAAGGAAAACTGTTTGGACTTCAGATGTTATCTGGTGACATTCTTAGCTTTTGGATTGGTGGAACAAGAGGCTTTCGTTTAAAGGTTTTTGGTCAAAAGGATATTGGGTCACACATCAGGTGGGTAATGAATGGCTTTCAAAGGGAATAAAAATAGCTAAAGATGTTTGATTCTGGTCTATAACACTTTAACTCTCCATAATCACCAAGTTCAGTCACTTGGCTTTGTAGATGCTTTAACACACAGGCAACACCCTCCCACATCCAATTTTACTTCACAATGGTCTGTGTCAAATACCACTGCTGACCTAACTGGTCAAATCTCAACTGATCCAAACTGGTCAGGTGATGACTGCACTACTCTCTGTGAGGTCTCCTATTTAGAAAGGAGGAGTCACATGGTCAAGGCAGGAAGGGTGGTTCTTAAAGGAGTTAGGGGACAGGAGGAGGCAGGTAAACCAAGGGACTGCCTTCTTTGTAGGGTTTTTCTTTCCTGGTACTCTATTAGGGGCTATTAGGAGGGTCGGTTAAGATTAAGTTGAGCCTCATATTCCAGAAAATCCAAACTAATAGAGATTAAACACAAAGAGTTTATTTTCCTCACACACAGGAAGTAGGCATCTGGGACTATTCTGGTGGGTCTGTGGTCATTAAGAATCCAGTTTTCCCCAGGCATGGTGGCACACGCCTTTATTCCCAGCACTTGGGAGGCAGAGGCAGGTGGATCTCTGTGAGTTCAAGGCCAGCCTGGTCTACATAGTGAGTTCCAGGACAGCTGGGGCTACAGGAAGACCCTGTCTCAAAAAGCCAAAAAAAAAAAAAGAATCCAGTTTTCTTCTTTCTGTCCTGCTATCCCTAGCCTCTATGCTGGGACCCCTCATGGTCCAAGATGCCTGCTGGTCTAGTCACCCCATGGGCATTTCAGGAGCAGGAAGAGCAAATGGGCAGAAGTCACATTACCATGTCAGAAGCCCTGGTAAAGACACCTCTAAGAGGTCTCACCTAAATTCTGCTTTTATGTCCTTGACCAGAATTGAATCACATAATAAACTAATTAAAGGAGGCAGGGGCTGGAGAGATGGCTCAGCGGTTAAGAACACTGGCTGTTTTTGCAGAAGACCTGGGTTCAAATCCCAGCACCTACATGGCAGCTAACAGCTGTCTGAAACTCCAGTTCCAGGGGATCCGACAGCCTCTTCTGTCCTCCAAGGGCATTGCACGACACAGGTGCACTTAATTACATGCAGGCAATGCATGCATACACATAAAATAAAATTAAAAAAATAATAATAAATATTAAAAAAAAAAAACGCTCTCAGGAAGGAAGGCTGTTATTTTTAGACACTGCGTTATCCAAGCCAAAATATTTCTTACTTTGAAATTTGACTACCAGGCTGTCTGAAGCAGTGATTCTGTGCCCTGGCCACATTCTAGAATAAAATGTGGAGCTTAAAAAAAAAAAATAGCAATGCCATCCATCTCCACTGGATCAGAATCTCTCCATGGATTATTTAAATGTGCAGCTAGTTTGGAAACCACTGGTCTAGAAGTAGAGAAATCATCTAAGCAGCCACACTTCCCACCCCTTTACCCCTCACATCCAGGAAGAAAAACAAAAATGAATATTTAAAAAGGAGAAATGTCAAACAAAACTCAGAATAGACTGAAAAGGCTGTGTTTTGGGGATGAGTGTATCTTGTTGTTATTTTGAGATGAGGCAGTGTCTCATGTAGCCCAGGCTAGCTTCTAAAAGGAGATTGCACAAAAATCCCCTGACTGGTTATAAACCACCACCTGCTGACAGGCTTTATCAGAGCATTGTTAGCCCCTGTTCAAAATATGGTCCTGGAACATTCCTCCCCCAACCATAAAGCATTTCCCGTTCTGCAAACAAGTCCTTCTGCCAAGTGACCCTTATCGGAGCAATGCAAGTCCCAAGCCCCTCCCCAACCCCACAACTCTATTTCCACATACAAACATACTTAAACTCCCCTGCTATGTGACCAGGGTGGCTGCTGTGATTCCCACCGGTCAGCTAACCACCCTTCATTGACTATAATAAAGGTTAGTCTGGGCTGTCGAGGTCGGTTGCTTTCTTTCCTACCTGTGACTCCTATTCCTATCACCTTCAGGATGACCTTAAACATCAAGATTACAGGGTACACATCATTTCAGTTTTATGGGGCAGTAGAGATTGAACCTAGAGCTGTGTGCATGCACTCTATTAACTGAGCTGTATCCCAAGCCCCAGACAAGTCGATCTTTACGACAGTGTTATGCATGTGAGAGTGACCCAGACTTTGTAGTAGACAGCCAAGAACATCACTCTCACCCCCACCCCACCCCAGACTTATGGAATGAAGAACTCTGGATAACCCAGAAGCCTGCATTTTAACCAGATTCTAAGACTAGATAAAGTTTAAGAACAATTGACCTACATTTAAAAAAAGATAATGGTAAGCCGGGCGTGGTGGCATACACCTGTAGTCCCAGAAATTGGGAGGCAGAGGCAGGTGGATCTCTGTGAGTTCGAGGCCAGCCTGATCTACATAGTGAGTTCCAGGCCAGCTAGGGCTACAGGGAGACCCTCTCTACAAAAGACAAAAAAAAAAAAAAAAAAAAAAAAAAAAAAAAAAGATAATGGTAACTATGTCTGGACTCCTCCTAAGCCATGTACCTCCCTGGGCAGTGGTGCCTAAATCTGCCAGGTTTGTTTGTTTTACAGACTCCAGGTGACAGTCATGTGCAGCAGGCACATCTGCTCAGAATTAGTATTTCTGATCAGCCAGGAACTGTTTAGCGATTGACAAGGGTGAGAGCCCTAATCACCAGCATCTGCCAACCTCCTCCCACCAAGACAGTTTCAGGCTACCGAGAGGAGGCTGTTGAAGGGTTGTTGGGACTGGGTGCATGCCAGCTGTCCTTCAGAGCCAGGGAGTGTTAGCTCTGGCACGCAGTGCCCAAAACTGTTGCCAAAGCTGCC